TCCCAGCAGCTGCTTCTACCTTCTCCTGTCACCCAAGTGAGGCTGGTCTTGGCATTTCCTCCTCCTTTTCCAGGACAGATGGGATAAGGCAGTCACTGAGCCATCTTCCCCTCACCATGCTCACCACAGGGGTGGCACAGGCAGGTCCTGACATCCCCTATTCTGTCCTTCACACTCTATAGCACATAGCTCCAAAAGCCCCTGAAAAGAGAAGCCAAGCCCGTATGCAACCTCCCAAACACATCAGGCTTTAAATCTAACGGTTATTGACTGTTAGGAGGGGGCCAGGCCCATGCCAGGGGGGTCCCACGGGCTCTGTAAGAGACAGGACCGAGCACCCAGGTTTGCCCTGTGGCCCCAGGGAGCCCAGCACGTTGCCAGCACACACCTTTCTCCTTGGCCAAGGTCCATCCTGCTGGTACCACATGTATTTTTAATGCAAGTGTTACCTGAAGCAAGCTCATTTTGATGCCTGGTGTATTGCTGGGCCAGGAGACGTGTCCTCTGCAGTCACTGCTCCACCAGCAGAAGCTCACCAAGGATGCTTGAGCCTGTGTGTGGCTGCCCAACAGCCGTGGAGCCGCAGAGGCAATTACTCAGCCTCTTGTAAAAGTGGAGCACTGTAAGGGGAGAGCAGCCCTGCCTCACATTAAAACTATGCTAATTAGGAGCTAATTACAGGCACACAGCTATGACTACCCTTGGCTAGCCCTGCAGGCTGCAGCCTCGATCCCCAAAGAACACAGGGACCCCCACAAGGACCTGCTTCAGACCTGTTTGACATGGAGGTGGCACAGGAGCACCCTGTGAGCCCAGCCCTGCTCCTGCCCCAGCCAGCAGCTCCTCACCGCCCCGAGGGGTGTTTTCCTGGGCTGTTGCTGTTTGGATGCCAAGAGCTGGGATGTAAACACTGAATCTGGCCCTGCAGGAGGTCACTGGGAAGTGGCACAGGGCAGGCAGGCTCCTCCGTCAGAGGGGAGGTCAGCAGCAGCTCCGGTGTCCTCCTGCCATGCAAGAGCACGGAGCCCATGCTCTGCCCTGGCGTGAGCAAGGTTTCCACAGCCCACCGGGGTCTCCTCACTTGGGAGAGCCAATTCTAAACACACCCATGGTTCCTACAGAAAGAACTCCTCTGAGGTGAGGGCAGAGGTGGGGAGGTGAGGACAGGACTTGGACCTTGTGCTCTGCTGTAGTGAGGGTAACGTGCACAAAACCCTTTTGCAACACCTACCTGGAGGCTGTTCTTGGAGGCTGAAGGAAGTCACATCCCAGGGCGGGCGCTGGGGAGCGATGGGGCTGTGCCTGAGGGAGGGGATTTTGGGCAGGACTCACTGGCCGTGCTGGGACCGTGCTGTTTCTTCTCCAGTTTGTGCTGATCTTCCCAGGAGAACTGGCACAGCGCCCTGACTGTGCGCCCCATAAATAAGGCGCAGCATCAGCTGTCGTGTCAGCAGGAGACAAAACACGGAATGTGAAAGGCTTTAAATGGAAGCAGGAAATGAAGAGATAAAGGGGCGATTTTATTTTAGATGCCTCGTTGGTGCATATTTCCTCTCTGACAGGAAGGGATGCAGTGGCTTTATCAGCCCCAGCGTTGGAGAATTTATTTATAGAGACTTAATAGTTTGCAAGAAACTGGGAGGGGGATGTTAGTGACTGTGGCCCGGTGTGAGCTGTAAGGAGAGTGGGGCAGGGATGAACCACCCAGCTGCTGCCTTTCCTTTGAATGGACCTGGGCTTCTGGGAAAACTGCTGGTAGCCCAGAAATCATCAACACTGCTTGTAGGGAGCAGCAGGAGCTTGGCACAAAACTCGTCTTCTCTGCTCTCATGACAGCTCATGAAAGAAGGGACACGAGGGGAAGACTACTGCAGAAAACATCATGGCAGCTTGGCTGAAAGCAAACATCCTCTGGCACATGTAATTACACCAAACTGAAGACTATTTCGTAACCTTGAATATATTTCAGCTGTAACTTAGCAACCTGCACTGAGTAAAAGCATCTGAGCAGGAATGCAGGTTCAGAGGAGAGATTTAGCCTTGCATTCCCTTTTGTTCCCATACCTTAGCAACAACTCCACACCACGGAGGAGGTACCCAGCTCCCACCAGCTTCCACAGCAGCCACAGAGCCACCCTCCTCCTGCACCGGTGGAGATCTCCCCCTCTGTCCCCCAGACCTACAGAAGGAGATTAATGAAGTGCTTCTCTAAGCAAACTCAACCGTGAGTCAACCGTGTCCACGCAAGTTACGCAACGGTGACTCAAGGACGACTCGTGCTGCTTCAGGAGCAGGCTCTGAAGAACCTGGAACTCGTGGTGGCACGTGTTGAGTCACTGACGTGGGTGGGAGGGGAATTGAAAACACACAAGGAAACTGACCCTGAAGAGAAAGCGGCCTTGCCAAGGTGTACTCATGTGTCCTCTACTCGCCAGGCAGCCTTGGGGGTCGGAAAAATAGTCCAGGACTTGACTTCTTGCCTTTTTCCTTGACATAAATATCCACCACCATCACCCCATCCTTTTACAGTGCTTTGTAACAGCCTCGCTTAAAGCCTGTGAACCCCTGGGACACAAGGAGGGAAGTGATGTGTCCAGTGATGAGCAACAGCCTGGGAGCAAGGGCGGGAAGAGCCCTTAGAGTCCATCCCATGCCGGCACCGTGTCCAACGCTTCCCTCATTACTTCCCAGTCCTCCTACACCATCACCTGGCACTTCACATCACGTCCCAAAAGCCGGGCGAGCCCCCCATGGCCTGAGGATGCCACAATAATAGGATCACTTGGACCAGAGTCAGGATTTTCGGGAGCAGCTGTTTACTTCAGACACCCCACGTGTCTTGCACAGACCAAGTACAAAACACACGAAGCTTGGGACACCCTCACTTGTTTGCCACAACCTATTGCTCCATCCCATTCCCTCCAGAAACAGCTGCTTTCTTTGGGCCACAGGAATACTGCTCAACCCCCTCAAACCACCACTTACACTCTCACAACCCTCCAAGCTGGGGATCTCTACAAAACGCAGCTAAACAGCTCACTGCTTTCCATACACACCTCTGCTTAATGCTAACTACTCCCAAAACACAGATTGAATTCGCAAGCAAGCACCTGAGGCTGCTGCCACCACGCCACGATCGCTGGCCTCACAGGAGCCACGCTGTCTCATTGGGCTGTCACGCCAGCCCCATGCCATCTTCTGTTTCATTCTTAGAAACCCCTGAGCTCCTTGGAGCAGGATCTATTTGGGCTGCGTGAGCAGAAGCACTCGGAACAATCTGTGCCTCCTCAATAAAAACAAAGGTAACAACTCATTCGTAATAAATTTATTGTATGTCTCGATTTACAGAGCTAAACTGAACATACAAACAGCACCAAGCCAGTGAAATTTATTCTACAAAACCAAGTTTAATACAAAAAGATGACTGCAATGCCTGACTCTTCACTTCTGGATTTGGACAGTTAAAAAAAGCTAAGCCAAACCCCACAAATTCAGTTTAAAAAGGCTTAAGAACGTAGGCACCGGTGTTTGCAAGGATTCCATGGCGGCAGTGAGGAACTCGTTACAGCACTTTGGAAGGATCGAGACTGCCTTCACTTTATTCCCTATCTTATTAACAGTGGAAGACGCTGCTCATTGTCTTGAAGACAAGTGGGAGGCTCCTCTCCTATTCAAACACCTTCCCTTTGTGACCAGAAAGGAAATATGGGGTAAGAGTCAACTCCTCGCAGACTATTTCCTATTTCATGGGAAAGGCCTCCTGGAGAGAGCCGCTCTCTCACACGCTTTGGTGGGTGACCACCAGCAGGAGGTACCCGAGGGGTCTCCACAGTCCTGTGGAGGTGGAAAACACACCAAAGCAGACCTCATCCCCAGAGGTGAGCAGGGACTGGCACCAGGAACCCACCTTGTGTGTGGCACCACCAGCCTGCAAGGCAGGAGCAGGGCTTTGGCCAAGCCAACACAGAGCCGGGGAGGAAGCTCTCCACACATCCAGCGCCAGAGCTGAACAGGAGCATTCACACAGTGCCTGTGTGCTGAGGAGAACCACGTCCACAGTGACAGGGGCTCAAATCAGTGCTGGCTTCCCTGCAGGTTTAACTACCTTATGCCAGAAATTAAATTGGTCCCTGCTGTCTTGGCGAGCTCTTTTACAGTATTGGGAAGAGTAGATTAGCAGTATCTGTGCCTAGCCTAAACTGCCACACACTGGTGCTATTTTCTTTGAAACAAACACTTCTGCTGGACATAAAAAGAAACTTAAGTAAAGAAATTATTATAGAATACAAAATACGACGCCTGCAGCATGAACAGAGGATTGATCACTGCTCCTTGCACCCACCGGGAGGCTGCAGGAACACTGACGCAGCAACCCCACACCCATGCTGCACGCCTGGTACGTCTCTGCTCCGACACACAGCACACACATTGCAGCTGCCCAGGATAAACATGTACATTCAGCCCTAATAGCCTTTCTAAAGCTGCTCTTTAATAGCCCACGAAGCAGCCCCTTTGGCTGTAGCCACAAGAAAGCGCTTTTGGAAGCTTCCTATATCCTTTATTTTCCACCCAAATCCCCCCCGCCCCCCCCCCGAAATCATAAAGCACACAGACTGCGGACTTAAAAAGAGTTAACAGGGTCACAACCACGCTTCCATCCCACCCACCCCAGCCCAAACCCCCAAGGCACGTCAGACTGCCCTCCCTCTAGGACTACCTTCACCTAACTTTGCCCCCTTTCCCCCAGTTTTAAAGGGTGAAGCCAACACGTTTTCCTCACCAAGTGCTTTCACCACTCTTTGTACTGATACAAACAAATTCTAACAAAACGCATCTGAACTCCCACCCTAGTGTTTCCATGGGAAATGTTAATCTTCTTTCAACACATTCCCTGATGGACGTTGCCACCAGTTGGCCTTTGCAGAACTGAGGTCAAATTTGGAAAGCTTTGTCAGAGGGATCCCGAGTCCCTCGACAGGAGATAGGCCTTTTTAATTTTGTTTGCAAGTTGTTCTAGGTTTGCTTGCTCCTGGAAGCCAGACATCTGCTGGAAGGGTAACTTTGGTGCAATTCTAGCTTCCCACCAGCTCAAGCCCACCTTCTTTCCAAGCCAACATTATTGCCCTGAAGTTTTGTGTGTGAAGATTTTCAGAAAGAAGAGCAAACAGCTACGTGCAATCCCCCACCCCAGAGGATCAGGACCATGACCTGCTCTTTCCCACCACCAGAGAGGGGACTGTCCCCTTGCCGAGGTCCATACTGACAGTTGCTCAACTTCTGTTCCTCTTCAGTGCTCTGAATCCGAGACGTAAGAAGGCTGAGTCCATCTCCACACGAGCATATCTTCTCCTGCTACCCTGTGTGACTCTGTCTGAATCCGTGACTCATTTGAAGCCAGGAAGTCCACAGCTCTCTCCCACACCCGCTTCATTTTCTTTCTGCAAGAAACAGCAAGAAAAGGAAAACAAATGAGAATCATACTCTCATTGTGCTTTCCTGCTTACAGCAACTGTGGCTGCTTATCAAGCTACTGCGAGCTGCCTCCTCTCCTCTGTGCAGACAGTAAAGGAGATTAAACCAGAATTCTGGTGTAGAGGCAATTTCAGGCCAGGCCATGAAAAACCAGGTCCTGCCTGGGGGAGAAGATGAGACCTTCTGTCAGTACCAGTAGTTGATGACTGCCCTGAGTTTCAAGCTCAATCTGCATTGTGAAGGGATTCTATTAGCAAACTGCCCTCACCCTTCCTGCTTGCAGAGGTATCTCAGACCAGGGAGGACAAACTGAAGTTCACCCCAGTTTTGAATCGATGTCTAGTAATTCTGGTGTCACACACACAGACCAGTTCAAAGCAGCTGAAATTACCACTAGTAGGAAAGGAGCTTTTTGGTTGACAAAGAGTGAGGACGTTTAAGACTTTGCAGCACACACAGCGTGCTGTGCCATCACAACAAAGTAGCTCCATTTAACTAAAATACAACACTCCTGCAGACATGGAGCAAGTGGCACATAAACCACCAAGAACCAGGCTGCAACCTCTGCCCCCTGGAGCAACTATCTCGACCACAACTCCTTTTTGACAAAGCACCAAACCCAGCCATCTCACTGTATCTCCCTTTCAAGCTGCCCAGCTTGAACTGGTAACCTTCCAGGCAGCAACATGCAGAACCACTTGAGAAGATCCCCCCAGTCCCCTATTCAAATTGTGGGAAGGTTTGTTCTGCAAAGCACAGCACCTGGTGGGAGAATAAGGTACGGCTGAGAAAGAGGACAGCATCTTACATACATGAGATGAAGGGCTGAAAATCAGATGCTCCATGCCCAAGCAGAACAAAATCCAATTACTGTTTGATAGCACATTGATAGTACACCTGTGTGACTGCACAAAGTATCAGCCCCAGGACTGTCACATTAATCTACAGAAGGTTAAGACATAGCCTGAGTTATGTCAAAACCCTTTATAAACTCAAAAGCCAGACTAGTCTGGCTCAGTCTCCTGCAGTCCAGCTTCCCATCAATTGTCTGCACATAGTCTGTTGCCCCGTAACTGCATTTTTCAGCTGAGCTGAGTAACATCATGCTGACGGCTCTCCTAAATGAGCAGAATTCAGCTCACCTGCTCTGAGGGGGGATGAGGCTGTCCCGAACATGGAATATTCCAACATAGGGGTAACGCTCCAGGTTCCGTTCCCATTCCTTATAGTGGTCCTGGACAACAGCTGCAGGGCCAGAGGACAGAACAGTGAGACACCTCAACAGTGCAGAGAAAAGAAGGCTACTTGCATTTAGAGAGCTACTGGATTCTACCTATGATCTTCTTCACCATTTCATACATGGCCTGTTCCTCTTCCTCCATCTTCCGCCAGCGATACCTAAGGAAGAGCAGGATCCCCCAAAGAGTTATCAGACCTAGAACAGAAACAAATGGAATTCAGTTCCAAATGTACTTGCTGGATGCTAGCAGGTTTATTTCTGACACTGCCTCTCCCCAGAGGCAGTTTTCACTCCCTGCTACCCCAGCCTGCTTGGAACTGAATCCAAGCAGTTCATTTTGTTCACCAGCGCAGCTGCACCCTGCAAAAACCTTGGTGCTGACACCACCTGCAGCAGAAGCAGCGTGGATGTGGAAGAGGTGGTCGGAAGGCCTCATCACGGAGGTCTTTTCGCCCCCATCAGAAACTCAGCACAACCACAGGGCTTCAATTCTCTGAGTCCCAGCGCTATCTCTTTGCGAGAGGCCTCCCCCACAATAATCACTTAGGAAGACTGTCAAGCTTCACTGCTCTGAAGATAGCTGCTTGATAAGGAAATAAAGCCCGAGGCTCCAGTGCCAGCCTGAAATTCGGGAGATCTATATTGAAGGTTTAGCATTGACGAATGCCCCCATTACAACATGAGCTAACTTTAGTACCTCAGTCTCTGCAATAAACATAACTATCCCCTTTCACCCCACCTTGTCTGGCTAGATTATAAACTCTCCTAGTCAACACTCATCTCTCGTTATCGCCACGCTCAGTAAGACCTCTGTTGCAGCTGGGGCATGACGGACTCTTCCAATAAAACCTCTTACACTGAAATGCTACAAGTCACTATTAAAGAGGCTGGAAGACTTTGCAGCTTGCTGCAAGAGAAGAAAGAAACCCCTCACCTTTCAGGTCGGTTAGCATAGTTATTTTGCAGACCACAGTAACGGGTACTCGAGGAATACCCAGAGAACTAATCAGCTTTCTGATTTAAAAGCAAGCATTAAGCACTCACAGCACAAGAGCAGGTCTACAGGTCTCCGTCTGCTGCCAGAACAAAGGTTAATTAGAAATTAACTCATCAGCAGATTCATTTCACCTCTGTTAGTAATTTCATATAGCTGGGAGAATGTGTGCACGCAGGTTCACCTCTACAGCTAGTGAGGGGAGAAGCTGATTACCAACACCAGTGACTTACACCAGAAGAACAGGAAGAGGTTCATGATGGCAGTGACCACTGCCCGACGGAAACGGCAGCCAAGGCCCATCTGAGGATGGGCTGATTCAAGGCAGAACACGTCCTCCACTTTGGTAACTGGTTCCGAAAGGTCTCTGCCTTTCAACCTGATGGGAAGAGGCAGAAAATCTTCACTGAAGAGAACAGGCACTTCAAGTGCAGTCTTTAATCAACACAGGCAGAACAAGCAGGCTGCAGATGCAGTAACTCGTTCTGTACACCACATAGAAAACACACCAACATCCTTGCAGCCCCTTTTTCCAGAACATTTTGGGACTGGCTGCATAGCAAGGCATGGATATGGCTTCAGAAAAGGCAGCAGGGCTGGAACTCCCACTGGTAAAGTGAAGTCTCCCTCTGCAGACTCTTTGACAGCACCTCTCAGCGTGCACAAGATTAAACTTTAAATTGGATTCCCACCTCCCAGCACAGAGAAATGGAAATGTTTACTGAGTCACTCAGCAGCAATTGCAGAGAGAGCAGTTGAGGGAGGCTGCCACTGCCCAGGGAGGTTACACTGTTTTCCTCAACACAGATGAGCATAAACTGTTTAGCCACAAAAGTGACAAGGCATCAACTGTATCTGCAATGAGAACAGACACACCCTCGGAAAGAATTCCTGGCAAAATCCTAAACACATCCTCCTGCAAATTCCCTTCCACACACCTGCTGTGCTGCCCGAGATGCTTTAACTCGCTTCTTTATATACAGATCTCCACTGATGCTGTCTCCTTCCTAGGTACTCTTAGCCAACAGGCATCAAGAAACCCACGTGAAAGCCATGAGATTCCGAGGAATTGGACTAAAGGGGATTTTATTTTTTAAGCTACTAATTCATTTGGTGTTTGCAATGAATAACCTATTAGACGAAGGCGTTTTCTCAATTTACTACTGCACAACTCACAGACTGCTGGATCTGGATACTGGATTCTACAGGAGCTGGAGACACGCAGTTGTTTCCCACCCCCTTGTCTTGTTTACAATCCAAATTCCATGGAAATACTTTGAATACGCAGCAGCAGAACCCAGTGAGAGCTCGTTTTCAGTTCTGCCTCTCAGACTAGCACCTAGAAAAATAATCTCGTCACGTTTGCTCCCAGTGGCACCCGCAGGTTTTGAAGCATGAACTCCCTCTGACGCTGCGCAGACGGCCTGGAAGTGAATCCATGTGGAGAGCTGCTAATTATGAAAACCAGAAGATGGGAGGATATTGTACCACCCAGCTCCTGACACGAGCACTGCTTGCTCCTCTGTAAAAATAGGAACGTGAAAACTCTGGATCCCAGCCCACCTGCAGATCCAAGCCTGTCACTAACGAAACTATGTCCTGTCCTGGGAATGTGCCACACACCAATAATCAAAGCAGCAGACACTGTCTGATCCTTAGATCACTGCAGCTTTTCAGCTAACATCAAGCAGTGGGAATTCATACAAGCTGTGCCCACCAACTCCAGCGTTACTACTGTTCCAATTCATTTAATCAGAGACAGGTTTAGCAATGTTACAATGCAAACACATGTTAGGCTTCAGAGTTAACACAGACTGGAGGCAGCCCACACTTCCCGGAGGAAGATAATGATGTCTGCAGACTCTGGATAACAGCCTTTCATTAGGTAATGACCCAAATGCAGTATATTTTTACCTGGAAAAATAAAATAAAATAGTATTTCTGTGATTTCTCATGTACTGAAGAGACTGCAAGCTGAGAAACTCAAGAGAGAAAAACCCCACTGATGACTGACCAACACCCCACATAATCAGTCAGAGCATTCATTTCAACATGTGCTGTGTGTTCTGCCAGAAAGACACTAAAGATAGCGTTCAACAACCCATTTTCCTCTCCTCCTCCTCAGGACTTGCTCCAAAGCATCTCAAAGCACAGGTGATGTTACCTACTAAAGAGAGGGCTTTGCTGTCTAATAAACCCTTTGGTCAAAGGATGCAGTTCCAGACAACACTGACGCTCTGTCTCCAGTAACTGTGCTAAAGAAAAGTTTTCTTGAGAGAAGTGGCTACATGGGCAAATTTAAGCAGCAGGTTGCTGTCACAGGACCACCACATCTCAACCCTGCAGGAAGCACAACACAACCTCTGGTAGCCACAAACAGCCTTCAGAGGTACAGCTCATCTGCGTCCACGAATGCAATGTCTCGCAGTCCAGCCTGGGAAACAGGCTCCCCAGGGGTGAGCTCAGTTGCCAGTTTTTGCTGCAGGGCTGTACTTTTCACTTGGAAGCTTGCCCAGCAAACACTGACAAAGCCAGTCCCAGATTGTCTTCTGAACTCTAACGAGGTATGGGAGCTTTCAGGGCACACCACAGAGGATGTCAAATTATCTATCAGCCAACACCGGGAAACAGAACTTAGTGGGCTTCTACTTACCATATTCCTAAATCCTTGTTAGTGTTTAGTATCCAGTGCAGGGCAGCTTCAAACTTCTTTGGGGAACTACCAGTTACATTCTGTACAGAAGAATCCATAAAAAGATTAGTTCTCCATTCATTTAAAATACCGAGTGACATTATTTCATTACAGCAGTTTCACTCTATAGGGTCTGTCCCTGGGTTAATTCTTAGGATAATTCTGCAAACTGGAAGAAGGAGACCCAAATCTGAAGGTCTGCCTGGACTAAAGTCTTCTGACTACAGCAGGTGATGCATGAAGCACTCTGTGAAATAACACTATCCCAGACCGTTAAGACTAACCACTAAATACAACATAATCTTACTGACAGTTTACCATGAAAGAAATGGAATGCTACATCAAAGCAGTCTGCCTTGTGACACTTTGGGGTATAGAAAAATCCTTCTTCTGCCCACCCCTTAATCCAGGGAAAATTCTGGTTTCAGAAGACTGATGACTATGGTGAAACAACAAACCATTAAGTTAGATTTACAGGGGCTGAATCAGAGATGTAGGAGAAGATTATTTTCAGAAGAACTGCTGAGAACAGGCCTGGCCAAAGGGGAAGCTAGAGATAAAGGAAAGAATCCAAACAGGATGAGGAAGTAAAACAGATGGTGAATCACTTTAGTATCTATTATTTATTGCCTTGTAAGAGCCTAAGCACTATGTTATAACAATAGCTGCTCACAGCCTACTCACCACCACATGATCCTTTGCTTCACTAACCCAAATGCATTTGCTTTTTAGATTCTCAGGGTTTCCACATTCAAAATTACCTGGTAAAAAAGTCAAATAGAAATGATGTTATGAAAAAATAGAAAAGCCCTTCAACATTTCAGGGATACACGGAAGTGGCTGTGAGCTGTCCTTTAAAGTTGGCTGTAGCTCTAGGCAAAATGATTACCAGACAAGATTTATGCTGTAGGCAGGTAAGATTACAACTATTAATAAAATGCTCAGCCACTGCACATAGGTTGGATAAGTGCAATCAAACCTCATGCTTCAATGTGTGAGCTCCTCCACACAGAATGAGGGGAAAAATACTGTTCCTCCCCTTGCCTCTGACCTAATGCCTTGCAGAGGGGCTCCTTCCATCAGGTATCAAAGACTGGAGGCAATGATCAGCGTTCAAAATGCTTCTAAGGAGCCTAAATCACAGCTCTACTTTCTACCCAGGCAGAAGAATGCTGGTGAGGAACACCATCTACATCTTGCTTCACAAAGCTGACCGAGCAAATATACTGAGGGTCTGCATAAAACTGAGGGAAATTCTGCAGTCTGATCTGATCTGAAAAGATTTAGGAATTCTGTGAAGCTTAAGTATCTAAAGACTTCAGGTCTGAAACCTAGAAAATGAAACTTAAGGACTTTTACTGATTAACACTCTAGACATCTTGCTAAACCACTTTCTACTCATACAGTGAGTATCTAGCAGTCTTCTCCATCACAAAATACTACTTATAGGCCAGATTTGCTCAAACATAGTAGAGACTGGCTGAACTGGTGTGCTCCATCAGCTCCTCAGCCAGGAGAGCCTGTCTTACTCTGCACTGAGAATAAAAGAGAGGCACTCACATCATCAGCTGCTGTGTTTCAGCAGAGCTGAATCTCTTAAGTTGCTTTAACTTTATTTGTACTAACACATCAGCTTACACTTAACTTGCTCTGAGTGTCTTGAAGACAATTTCATGATGCTGGTAGAAAAGAACTATAAACAGGAATATTTCTACCTCACAATCCCAATATATCAAGTGCAAGTAAGGACCACTCCACGAGAGCACAGCAACACGAGGGCATTAGCTACGCACGATTCAGAACAAAAACAAACACATCTTTCTCTATTTTTCTATTACCTGACTTTTTCAGAGCTCTTCAGGTGGAACTGACAGTTCCAGAAACCCCACTCTTCAAACTGAGGTTTAAAATGTCCAGTCAGCTGGGAGAGGCAGTTTGCTGTACGCTCACAAGTGTTCTAGAACGACAATTGGAACTTACCAGCTTGAACAGACAAGTAGTTGTACAACTCGTGCAGCACGTTGATCACGACATCCTTCTGTTTAGCTTGACAGAACTGAAAGTCAGAAAGAGGTAACAAACATGAACAGCAACAGGACAACGGTCAGACTAGCTAAAAATAGCAGAACAAAAGAGCAGCAGTGTGTTTGGCTCCAGTCATGCACCACTAGTTCAAACTCAACACACCTGCAGCAAAGGTTCACAGTTCAGGAGCCAAGTCAAGCAAGGGCATCCCCAGCCCAGGCTGTACCACCAGGCATCTGACCAACCACTCATGGATTCTTTGCCTCCAAAACATCCCGCAACCATAACTCTGAATCCAATGCAAGATTTTCACTCTCCTAATAATCCATTAGGATAAAAAAAACAGGGCTGTACAAACCCTTTATGATGGAATTCAGAGAATTAGTTGGATTACATCTTGTATTGCTAAGGCTGAACACAGCTTTATTGCAAACCAATATCGCTTCTGTTACAATATTAAAGAAACTGATTCACGTAATTGGGGATTTAAATTTTTATCTTTCAGTCTCATACACAGCCCTAATTTAATCTGCCCCATTAATTCCAACTCATCGAGCCACAATTTCTCTGTAACCCGACAGAACTAATAATTTTACTGTGATATCAGTGGAAGTTACCTACAGTAATTACTCTCGTGTGAGAATCCCCAAGCCACAATACTTGAAGATAAATAAATATATGCTTACATCATCTGTTCTTTTGTCACAATCCACAGGCAAGAGAATAACTACAAGAGAGAAGGGGAGGATGAATTAGCTGGCTGCAAAACAAGAGCTTTGATCAAGAAAGTAATTATCTTTTTAAAAGAAGGCTCTACTTTAAAGCCTGATTCTGCTGTTCTTACTCTCACCCTACATTACCTTGCTATGCAAATAGCACATTCAAAAGCACTGCTCTGGTAGGCAGCAAAACAAATAAAACGGGTGCAAGTGATGAATTCTAATCAGCTGGAAATTAAAACCTGGGCTCTGAATGTTTTAACAGCTCCTGTTCAAGACATTTCATGCTGCTTTACTCTCCCACACCTTCGCACTGATCTTTTACCATCTCACAATGCCACTTGCTGCGTGCCACGGTCACCTGAAATAACATGGTGATAACAGGGATTTGAATCAAGCCTCCCCAAGGCAAAAGCAGCAGATTTATTGCAGTTGGAGCTGTTAGCTCTGCAGTTATGGCCTCTGGTTTAACAGCTTCCTCCTGCCCCAACACCTGGCTATACCTTGGCCACTGGTCCACCATGCAGCACTTCCTGGCAACCTATAAACCACCGAATTTGAAGCTGTGCTGCAAGATTCCTTGCTTCAAAATACGACTGGTCTCAAAATATCCAACCAAGGTGTAGAGGCTACATCAGAAATGGATGTTGGACAGTTTTATTCTGACGTTGAGAAAGGAGGAAGGAGCTTTCCCGGCACACGCAAAGCACACAAACACCTACAGCGGGCTGAGTTTAAGGACTTGCACCTTCCTAACTGCTCCCCAAACCCCTTCTTCTTTCAGCTCATGAACTGACACTTCCCTCTGTTCTAGCTGGGGAACTCTGCTCTAAAAAGTGGGGGACAAGAAGCTCCTTTTCATTTCCAAGCTCTGCCACACTTGAAGTGCTGAAGAACCAATTCGACCGCTGTAGTGCCAGGATAAAGGCCACGAAGGGCTGTGCTGTGCAGAGGCCAACATCAGAAAGACACAACGGGCAATCACACAGACATTATGTTACACAACAGACAATGGTAAAACACATCCTTGGCCCAGCAGAAATGTCACTCTCCATAAAACCCCTGGTTTTGAAGGACCGAAGGCCAAATTCATTTGTAAAAAGCACACACCTGACTTACTTTCTGTAACTAACAATGTGCAAAGGGAGATGGAAACAGGGACAGGAGCAGAGACGTCAGGTTATGGCAATGAGAGTGATAAATGTGATGGTGATGGAAGTAATGAAAAGAAAGCAGGAAAGAAAGGTGAAGAATGAAGTTGAAAGCCAGGATTAAAACCCGTCCACGTACAGTTCTCCTCTCTCTTGTCAAGCCAGCCTGACCCAATCATCTTCACCACGAGGATGCCCAGAAAAATGAGCAGCAGCACGACGCTGGCGAAGCAGAGGAACTGGGAGAAGTAGTACTCGAGGCCTTTGCTCTTCCCCTCCATCTGCTGCTTCGGGGCTGACCGCAACAAGCGAGTCCTGGGGGTTACTCCCTGCCCTGCTCCCGACCTGTCCCACCAGCTCCCCGAGGCCAGCCCTGTGTCGGAGGCAGCCCTCCCCAGGGGCCGCCGCATCAAGCGCCCTCCCC